AACCCGAAGGCCCTAAACCCGAAACCCCCAACAAAAAACTAACCTTTTGACATTGTGGTATAGGATTATACAAGCCCCAAAAGGTTAAAGGTTACCTACTCAGCCCCTAAGTATACCCCTAAGTAGTAGAGCAAGCAAACTTTGGGATCATCTCAAACGGCCACGACCTTTGACCTTTCCGGCTTAGGAGGGTGCGGGATTATGCGCTTCTGTGAGTTTTTTAAGCCAAGCTTCACATTCCCTACGGGATAGAATCGACTGCGTAAGTGCTCAGGTTTCGAGCTTTTAGGATTTGAGACTGCTGATGCTTCGATGTCAAGTAGATGGTAGCATCACCGATTCATCTCCCACACTTCGTACTTACGATGCTTACACGTGGGAAGGCATGCCATCTCCATTTCTGTTCCTTCTAGGATGAATGCCTCATGGGTAGGTCCTTCTTGTGGTCCTTATTATTATAAGGGTGCCGTACTATAATGGGGACCTAAAAAGGGACCCTAATTTAGAGAACCACCCTCATGACAAGGATCCAAATATGAGGTAGCCTTGCGGAATTCGGATCAATGCTGCAGGGTTCAAGTTGCAGGGCTTATATGGGTTGGGTTTAGGGGTTTTGGGGTTTAGGGGTTTAGGGTTTAGGGTTAGGGTGCAGGATGGGTGGCACGTTTCGGCAACAAGCTACCTACCCATGTCTTTACTGTCTTATGCCTTAGACTCAGCCGAAACCCGTGCCCAAACCGAGCGCGGAATTTGCCCAAGCCGACTATACCCTATAACCCTAAACCCTTTCGACCCAATAAACCCTTTTGAAACCGGACTTGATGACTGCCAGCACTGCCTCTTCTGCCGTTATAAACCCTAAACCCTATAAACCCTAAACCCCTATGGAATTGGGTGCAAACAGGACCTCATATCCCAGGCCAGGTTTACACTATGAAAGTGAAGCCGGGATCCGGCGACCAGAACAAAATTATGTTTTAGGGTTTTGGGGGTTAGGGGCCAACTGGAAAAATACTCAAGAATGCAATCTTGGGCTGAAAGATTTGGAAATGCTTTTCGTGAGCTGCATGCACCTTGTACTCTGGAGAACGTTGGTTGGGTGCAGGGCAGAACTCTAGAGACTGCGTATTACAACCCTCCGAGAGTACAGCAGGCTGCTTTCAGCCAAGTGGCGCCCGCACTTTCGAGCACTTTCTGGAGCACCTGCGGGTTTGGCCACGTGCACGTACACGCATACAAGCAGAGACAGATACATACACACACATATATATATATATGTCGATCTAGCTATCCATCTGTCTATCTATCTATCCATCTATCTGAATCTATCTACAAATAGATACAAACTGTATATATGTTTATAGTATATATATATATATACATATATACGTATATGTATATGTATGTGTATATATATATATATTCTACGTAGATAGATTGGTAAACAGCTTGTTGAGCCTTTGCTTAGTGCTGTCTCGTCGTTTAGGATTGAGTGCGTGTGCGTGGGGTCTGCGATGGCTGGACTGTCCTGCTTACAGCAGAGTTTTGGATAAAGGTCCACGATGTCAAGCGTAACTACACGTGGGTCACAAATCTCTAAATATCCCTTAAGATATCGCTCTTTCGGAACAGTGTAAGGGACGTTATGCAGCTAAGATGGTGCCGAGAAGGCTTCCACGTCCGGCTTGTCCCACACAAACTTAAACCCTCAAACCCTTATAAAACCGTCTGTACAGGGTTTGGTTTTCGGATCAGCTGTTTCCGGGTAAAGCCATTCTAGCAACCGTTACATTTTTTCATACCTAGAACTCTAAACCCGAATCCTCACCACCAAAAGCCAAAAAAGAATCCCTACATACCCATATGATTACCTCAGACGCGTCTAACCCCTGCACCCTAATCTCTACTCCCTGCCGGAACAAAGCCCAAAGGTTTTTGCGGTTGCTTATGACCCCCCAAATGCCTTTTCCTCAGACCCCTATAAACCCTACTTAAGTCAGAAAGCCTGGAGGTGGACCCTGCACCCCCAACCCTAAACCCAAGACTCTAAACGCCCATGAACGCGATTTACCCATAGTCTCCATTGAAGTTCCTTGTTTTGGTTAAACCAATTATGTATGTAGGATCCCATCAGGTAGCCCAAAAACAAACTACAATGGAGACTATGGGTAGGTCCATGAGAGAGATCCCGGAGGTCTTCCGGATCCGTTTACCCTAAACCCTAAACCCTAAACCCTAAACCCTAAACCCTAAACCCTAAGCCCTAAACCTTATGAGGACCCGGCAGCCTTGGCCCTCAAACCCTACTGGTTAGGGTGTAGGGTTTAGGGT